ATTCTCTTGACTGCAGGTACAAAATGAATATCTGTTTCTCATTCCTGAAGATGATGATGTTTGTATTTAATGGAGTGATCTTTGTAAGTATGTGCTACTTACACAACTGGTTGTGGCAGAGAGCTGGATGAATAGGTCAGGAAGTTGAACAGATGCACAAAGTATACTTTTGCAAAATATCTGTGATGTGCAGATGTGAGAGGTTTAAGAGCAGTACGAGCCTGATATGTGGAAATACTCAGCATGGGAAAGCAATCTTAATATGTCCCATTGTTCATACAACAGAACAAATATGAAAAGAAAAAAATGGTTTCCCACTGTAGTTCTCTTATAATGTAATGGTATAAATTGGAAATGATCCTCCAATCCTTAACAAATTCTGTCCAACATTGTCTGATAGAAATAATTGCATGGGATAATTTGAAGGATTAAGTATTATTCTTCTCTGCAAGTTTGTTTATTATGTGGATTTGCTCACCAACAAATAGTTCCATTCTCAGTATAAGTAGTCATCACTTAACGACCATAATTGGGACTGGCAACCCTGCTGCTGAGAGAAATGTCACATGACTGCTCCACTCAGCAGCAGCCATTTTTGGCATTCCCAGTTGTGGTTTTTGAGTGAATACCACACAGTCATTAGGCAAGAACCTAAGCCACTGTTGGAAAAAGATAAGGGAACTACTTTCACTTCAACTTTCCCTGTTCACCTGTTTCTCACATTTCTGCTATTTTGGCCACCTTTATAACCATTGTTGCTAGCTGTTGCTGCTGCCACCCAGCCCTGCTTGCTGCCCCCACACTGGATGCTCACTGCATTATGTACCAGCTGGCTGGGGGATTCTGGGAGTTGAAGTCCACAGGACTTAAAGTCGCCAAGGTTGAGAAACACTGATCTAGTTAGTATCAGGTCCCAGAAACCAAGAAAGACACATGTTGATTCTACCAACCAGATTTCTATAGGTTTTATATACAGTATATATAAAGCATATTTTATTACAGATAGTCCTAGCTTAACAACCGGTTGTTTTATGTCCATTTAAAGTTGCAGTGGCTATAGAATGGGTGCTTTACAGCCTGTAAGCACCTCCAGCTGTCATAAATGGTCACACTGCTCCCATAGTCACTGACTACACGTCAGGAGAGTCAACTTTATGACTGTTTGCAGCCCACCATGATCACCTGACCACAATTTGCAATTTTTGTTGTCAGTTTCCAGCATTTTATGCTGATTTCGATTTTAAAAAACACTCATTCAAATGAATGGGTTGGCTTAACAACTGGAGCCTTTACTTAATAACTTCAGTATTTGTTTAATGACTGTTGCAAAAATGGCTGGAAATTTACTTCCAGCCCAGTGGTGGGATTCAATTTTTTTTTTACTACTGGTTCTGTGGGTGTGGCTTGGTGGGCATAGCAGGGGAAGGATACTGTAAAATCTCCATTTCCTCCGGATCAGCTGGGACCTGGGAGGCAGAGAATAGATGGGGGTGAGGCCAGTCAGAGGTGGCATTTACTGGTTCTCCAAGCTACTCAAAATTTCCACTATCGGTTGTCTAGAACTGGTCAGAAACTGCTGAAATACCACAACTTACAATTGCAACAGCTTATGACTGTAATTCTGAGCTCAATTATAGTTGTAAGTCAAGGACTATCTGTACAGATTGTACATTGCCTTGAGGATCCATTGTGGTAAGGGGGAGATTTATGAATGTTTCTAACCAGTCAATTGATACTGGTTCAATTTGTTAGGAATGAAATGTTGGAGCTATAGCAAACAGTCCTTTTTGCTCAAACGTTATTATTGCAGAATTAGAACTTTCTTATGCAGAAATGATACCTTCTGCTTTCTCTCCATTTTCCTCCCAGCTAGGGGGCCTGGCTTTGCTGGGCATTGGTATCTGGGTGAAGGTAGACGGTGATTCCTTTGAGAAGATCCTTGGAGTTGCTGCACCACAAATGATGCTTCTGCTCCATGTGGGTTACCTGTGCATCACAGTTGGCAGCATCCTTTTCATCATGGGCTTTTTGGGATGCTGGGGAGCTGTGAAAGAAAGCAGATGTCTCCTGCTGGTGGTAAGCGATTTGCAGAAAGATCTTGCCGTAGACCGAATGTGGGTGTTATGAATTTGCTAAGCTGTAAAGTTTACACATGGCTACTCCCGTCTTGATTTAACTTCTGCTCCTAGACCTTTTCTGCCTTCAAATTCTTCTGAATCTTGATATGCTGGTAGACTCCCAAAAATAAATCTCCCATC